TATCCTTTTTGTTCGTTTTTACCCGCCACAACTTCGTCCGCCTCCTCCTCCTCCTCCTCGTCATCATCATCATCATCATCTTCTTCTTCTTCCTCCTCCTCCTCTTCTCGCCCTCCTCCTCCTCCTCTCCCCCGCCTCCTCCTCCTCTTCTTCTTCTTCTTCGTCGTCCTCCCTGTCGTCCTCCTCCTCCTTCGTGAAGGTGCGGGTACTTGTAAAAAATTCTGTAGAACATCAGCAGCCTAAGTCCAATATGGACCTCCAATTCGAGGTCCGACCTGGGATTCGTTTGAGTTGACTCAACCCATTTTTCTTTCTTCTCTTCCCTACATTCACCCTGCCAATTATGGGATCTAGCACTGTCCCAATTGAGCAACTGGCACTTAGGCTATCAGTTACCTTCTTCGCGAAGGTCCGGGTACTTGTAAAACTTTCTATAGAACATCAGCATCGCAAGTCCACTATGGGCCTAGCAGGCAAACACACCTGAAGCGCACTGTAGACAATCTTCTTTCTCTTCTGAGTCTTCTTCTTAAATTAAAATGTAAGAAGGTGAGAGCAAACAGCCCATGAAGCATTTGAATTTTGAATCTTCTGGATATTCGAATGGGGTGAAGGGCTTGTAGCAAGTACCAGGAACTGTATGTACAGCAGTGGCCTAGCACTAGGCATGCAGCAGCACGCATACAGGTTCATGGAAAAGGGGAATGTACATGGTCTGATTCCATACCAGCATAATGGGCCATCATTACTGGCTTCGGAGGGAGGACTACATCGTGTAGAAGCTACTGGCTATGCTCAAGTGGCTAGTGGCTAGGGTCAGAAACCTAGTCTGAACGTAGCACAGGTCCCTATGAGCATATGTGAACTTATAACTCTGGCCCTGTGCATCTGCCCCATTCCTGAAATACCCCTGAGCTAGCCAGCACCCTTAATTAAGAGCACCTCAATGCGTCCCCTTAAAGTTTATTTTCACAACAATGATGCTGGTTTGAAACGTGCAAGGAGACTTTGTAAGTTTGTACTAAGTTAATGCGGATGCAACCCTAAGTGTTGTTGCATTGCACGTTTCCTTGCCTGTCCTTTTGTGACATCTTTTTCCCCATGATGTCATCGTTCAGATGCCAGAAATGGATGGGTTTGAGACAACACGACTGATACGGAAACTGGAATCGGAGGCAAATGCAGCAAAGTCCAAGGACCCTATAAAACCAGTTCCTATTATCGCCTTCACAGCAGATATGAGAGAAGAATCCAAGCATGCTGCTATGGAGTGTGGTATGGATGGCTACCTCACGAAGCCCATCGACGATGAGAAGATCGCTCAGATTGTTGATGTTGTGGTTGGCATATGGACAAAGTCGTAGCTAATGGAATTTGCATTGCGCTGGGAGAGGCACGCAGAGTGTATTTGCACTGTAGCCACTTACAGGTGTTTTAAGCCTTTGAGGAATGAGCATCCCTTTTTCTGAAAATATGTTTTTGATCATGAAGGTTCAAGGCGGTCCCACTGTAGCCACAATTCTGTTGTAGCCTGCTCCATTTCTTCCAGTGCAGCTTTGAATTGTGTTTCAAATTGTCTTATCGCCTGTTTACTCATTTTCTTTTTCTTGTGGGGGGGGGGGGGACTTCGAGTACATGGGACTCTGCTTAGAGAGGTGACAAGAGCATCCTCTCTAATCAGGACCCTGCTTGTGAAGGCTCCATCTATTGGTGGGGAGCAGCACCTGCTGCAAACCGGGTCCAGCATTCCGGTACAACATTGGAATGATCGTCCTTTTGTGATCGTGAGAAGTCTCGTCATCTGTTGTGCTACATAGAGTTCCGTTCCTCAAGTGTTGTCACTTCTCCCTGCCCTGTTGAGACCCTGCCTGCCCAACTGGGCCCTTGTTTGTTGTATTTGAACGGGACTAAGCACTTTTGCCTGCTTGGTCCTGCTTTCATTCTGACGAACCTTTGTTTCGGTCGTGAGCCTCTATCCTGGATGTCCACATCTCTCCCAGCTGTTCCCTTTGCAATCCTGCTTGACTTGTTTGGTTTTGACTGTTGAGGCCCGTAGGCTCCTACGTCTACTGTTCGTCTCACTGTCACACTGTCCTGCTGGGCTCCTGCCTGCCCCGCCTGAGTGCCCAGTCTCTGTTAGACCCTTGTTTATGCACCACGCAAAACCGCTGCTAAACCTCTGCTCAACGCTTCCCTTGTGACGTGCTGCCCATCCTATTTGAGCTTTGTGGAATGTGTCTTGTCGTGTCCCGGTTCCCGACTTGCTCTGCGGACACTGTCGGTTATTGATGCTGCTGGTGGCCCTAAGGCTCCCATTGCTACTGTCTGTTTCGTTGTCTCGCTGTCCTGTTGGGTTCCTGCCTACCCCGCCTGAGTGCCCGCTCTCTGTTAAACGCTTGCTTATGCAGCACACAAAACCTCCGCTAAACTTCTGCCGAGTGCTTACCCCTGTAGCGTGCTACCCACCCATGCATTATGGGTCCAACGCGTGGCCAAGACTTGA